GCGGCCGGGCCCCTCTCCGGGGGCTCCGTCTGCCCAGCAGCCCGCCGGGCCGGCGGCCTGTCTCACGAGTAGCACTGTGATCGGGGAAGTTCAGGGGCTTGGTTTCGGTCTGTGAACACGTCATGCTTTAATTTTCTTTAATATCCGTAGTTGAATTGTTCGTTGTCCAGCTCATGATACCGGATTAGCATCTGGCCCGGGTTATTTCTTCTCGAATAAACTCTGTAGAGGTGTCTTTTTGAATCTCATATGTACATCTTGTAGAAGGCAGACTTTTTAAATGCTTTTTTCATTATGGAGGTGAGTAACATTGGGCTACTAGCCGTTTGGATAGCATTGCATTTTGTAGCTGCCCCAATCCTTACAGTTACTGCTCCTCTAGAGTGCTCCGCTACTCCTCCTCTATTTTTCAGTAATATCAATATCCAAGATGATATGTTTGTTGCCTTAGGTAACTGCATAAAACTTGTCTTGTGTCTCATCTTTGCAAGCGTATATGTTTAGCTCAGTTTTATACACCAGGAATCTCTTCTAATGTTCAGGAAAGCAGCATGTTAAATTTGTGCTAAAACTGGCACGTAATGAGTAATGTAACTGTCTTTAATGGGGCTCTGTGCATACTCTGTTGAGCTGGAGGCGTAAAATTTTAAAATGTCCTTGTAATGTATTTCATTTTAATGCAGCTGGTGAGATATTTTAAAGAACAAAACTACTGCCTATTTTAATGCTTACAAAAACAGATTCATTTGGGCGACGTCTTAAGCTGTGGTTTCATGGTACACTCAATCTGGTCAAGCTACATTGCTAGTGAAAGTTGGGAACAGTGCTCTTCTCTTCTTATTACCTCCAGCTGTTTCCCTGGAACAATACTTTACAGTATTGTGACAACAAGGTGATTCAGCTTGCTGGTGGCTCTCTGATAGGAAGGGGCATGTTTGGTTGCCTGTTGGTTTAGCTGTAACATGGAACTGTTCCCTGAAACACGTTTTTGGCTAAACTAGACCCAACTACGTGTACTCTGGTAAAAGATAAAAGATCTGATATCAATCACTTGTTGCACATCCATAACGGCTTGTTTTCTGTATAAAATTATAGAAAGTTTATATTTTATTTTATGTTTTTGTTATGTTTTATAAAAGCTTATATTTTGAGGACCTTGAGAGAGAAAACATATATTATTTTTAAAATATTACGTTTTAGAAAAGCAGAAAACCCTAATGGTCTTCATAGTTGTGAAGAGATGCTGCTCATAATATTGTTAAATGTTCTTAAATTTGACAAGAATGAGGTTACTGAGTTATCAAGGGTCACGTCTTTAAATTTCTTTAGAATTTGTGAAGCTCTTATGAGTCTGTTGTTGAGGTTTAAAACCAAATGATGGTGTGGAGACTAATGAACTTGAAGGGCAAAACACTTTCATGATGGATACATGCAATTTTATGAATTTCATGGCTTCCCTGTTCCAAGGGAGAGATGAGGCAGTCCAGAAGAGAGGTGGGCAGGTGAGCGGAGCGGTTCCAGCCGTGCTGGGTGTAGTGCTCGTGCAGGGTCGGGGCGGTCCCCCGGGGTCTTCCCCTGCGTGCCACCATCAGCTGTAGGATTGGGTAGAAAACACCAGATTCTGGACTGGCTTGTTCACGTGGAGCCTAACAGCTGGCTGTGGGTTGGTGCTGGTAGTCTGCCTCTCTGGAAGGTTCTTGGCAGCTTTGCAGTCTTCACAGTGCTTAACAGTTGCTTATGGGGGAGGTACTCCTTTCCTCTAGTAGCAAAGCTACTCCCTTATCGTAGGGCATTAACTGAAGTTCTTATGCTAACGCTGTTGTCAAGTAAGCCCAATTTATGCTAGCTGCTACACCTTTTGGCACAGCCAGAGACCTTCCTTGCGTTTTTAATAACATAACTGCTATAGTTTCCATTACAGCTAAGGCCGTTTTACCATTAAAGTTTACCTCTACTAACAGCATAATATATGTGCTCTTTGTTCATTTAGGAGGTCGAGGTACTCCTGTTAGTGTCTGTGTATTTGCAATGTATTTTGACAGTACTCTTACCGGTTTTCTGAAACCCTTGGAAAGAAAGGTTGCTGTGCAGCTAGTAGGCCGCTGGAGTGCAGAGTAGTGTAAAAAAAGTGCAAAAACGCACAGTGGCTGTTAGAACAGGACTCCGGTTTCTTTCAGCACTGTAGAGTCGTTTGTGTCTGCCAATCATGTTATGGCTTATTCTTACCTAGTAGCTGGGGGAGCAGTTGAAATAAACAATCCACTTATAAATGCAGAAATAAACCAAAAGATGTTCCAGTAATTGCTGTACCATACTTGTATTCATAATTTGGTCTGTTGGGTAACACTATTGAGATTTTTTGTTGTTGTTGTTTTTACTGCTTTAGAGTATAAAGAATATAATTTTTTTTATTGCAGTAGTTGCAAGTATACTTTGTTGTATTAACTTTGATGCATGTTTGGTTTTGTCCTTTGGTTTTTTGAGGGAATAATGGTCTTGTATTTTGAGGAGAAAAAAACTATAGTACGTTCCTTCCGCTGTTCAAGTGGAGGTAATATGAACAGATAATCTCCATTGTGAGTGTGAGATCGTTCTTTACTGAATTCTCATCTTATTATAGTGAAGCTGAATGACCAGTATAATTGACCGTTAAATGCAAAATACTACTCCCATATATGTAATATATCTTAAATAGTCATTGCTCATTGTGTGCTACTAACGGGTTTTTCAAAATTCAAATGTTGAGAACTGTTAATTCTGTTTCAGATTGTCTCTCTTCTCATGGACTGATGTATGTCTGTTAAGAAGCCCTATGTTGCTCATCTGTAGAGTTTCTTGCTCTTGAACTGCATTATTGGCTTTTCAAATGAAAAAGGAAGTGTTCAACTGCTAAAGTTAAATGGTGCAAATTTTAGTCCATCTTTCTTAGTACTTAATATATTGCTGTTATATTACTTTTTCATGATTATACTTGGGAATTAAGGTTGTTTTTTGGAAAATTTTTAATGCTTTTTATTATTATCTTTTAAGAGTGCTTATATTGTTATCTGTGGATATATTTTTATATTTAAAGCCTATTCTGACTACAGTCATCTTTATCTGCTTCTTTCCTTCTTTCCCGCCGTCCAGAGCAATACAATTAAATATGAGGCGATCAGCAGCTCCCAGTCAAGCGCTAGGAAATGCAGCCAAAAAGCCAAGGTTTATACCACCAGGAAAAAGTAATGCAATTTGTCCCAAGAGCGAAACTGAGGAATCAGACCAAGAAATGAAACAAAAGGAGGTAAACTGAACAGTGCCCTAAAACCCGTATTTGTTTGTACAGTTTTGTTACTAAAAGGTAGCATCTGAGCTCACCACAAACAATCCTTGCTTACATAACCTGTCTGTTTAGACTAGATTTTGATACCTTTGCTTTTACTACATTTGGCCTTGCTTCTCAGATAGGTTTCTCTCACTCAGTGAAGCAGGAGAAGAAAAATGTTTTTCAGAAAAATAAAAGCAATCAGTACTGAGCCCAAATACAAGCCTCAGTGTAGCTGAGGAATGGTTTTGCGTCTTGGCCTGGACTTTGGATTTGAATGCTTGAAAGTTTTGGCAAAAGCAGCACAGAAAACAAAATTTAGAAATGTGAGTACAATAAGTTGTGGTTTTGCTGCAAGGAACTTTCTCTGAAACTTAATATCAACAAGAAAGCATCACAATTTTTATTAGTTTTATGAATGGAAGACTTCTGTGAAATTCAGTTCATAACACTGCATGCACACTACTTGGGTATATGGTGTTTGGTATTGTGTGCATGCATTTATTTTCATGAACATTGGAATGTACACATTTATGTAGATAGAGTGGTATTTTCCATTCTTAAATATGAGAAATATCTGACTTGTAGAGCCAATTAAGTCAATAACACATAGTTTTATTAAAAGATGTCAGAATTTGTACCAGTATGATTTGTAAAGTTGCTGTGCTGGTGCAGGCCATTCTGTCTTTTCAGCATTGTGAAAAAGTGCCCAAGTTTGCATGTGACAG